AACTCTCATTTAATAATGCATTTCAAAATGCATCTATCCAATGCTATCACTCTGCTACAACCAGTCAAAAATCCTTGTTTGCAACAATTGAATGACACATACATTCTATAAAAAAAAAAAAAAAAAGTCAATATTTAGGAATAAAGGTGGGGTCACATTAATACAATAAGTTATAGTTCCACTATTTGAATTTTTTTAACTCGAAATAGTAATCATGCAACTTTGCATACTTTTTCCTATAATCACCCTTTAATTTCTCTAATACTCTTGCTCTAGTTCTCATACATTTAGTAAATGTCACTTCAGTCTAGAAATCATCCCTTATAAACTATCTCAAATCTTTCAATTTAATGGAAGTCATTGCCTTCATCTTGTTGAAATAATTCGTTGCTAACCAAAAAACCTTTTTCTCTATTTTCAAATTTGGATCGACCTCTTCTAACCATTTCATTGCTTGTTACCCCCACAAATGGATTTTATTCTTTGAAAGAAACAAAGTGATGGTAAACTCAACCGTAGGGTAGTCAAAATGGGTCTTGTCGATCCTCTCTCTATCCTTCCTTCTCTTACCCTTTTTTCTCTCTCCATGTAGCATTGAAGGACTAAAATGAAATAAAAATAAATTTACAGATTGAAAAAAAAATGTTTTAAAAAGAGAGACCAAAATGTAATGCCACAACAACTTCCATAGTAAATGCCTTAATAAAGCTTAAAAATTACAACAATGACACAATATAGTCAAAGGAATAATACAATGAGTCTTGGTGAACAATGGAAATGAGTTTGCATAAAAAGTGTTTGAAACACTAAAGTAAATAGTAAACAATCATTTTGGTTTAGGTTTTTTTTTTTTCTTAATATATCGAATGAAAGGTAATTTAAAAAAATATATAATAAATTTTTTAATTAAAATATTATGTTTAATTGATTATTCCTTATTGTTTTCATAAATTTTCAATTGAAAAAGAAAAAACATGATTTGTTATTGTGTACACATTGATTCTTAAATAAGAACCTACAACAATCTAAATAAAAAATTGAATCTAATTTTTTTAAAACCTTAATATCTTTTTCATATGGTTGAATAAAAAAATAAAGCAACAACAAATATAAAAATTGTTTAGAAATTAACAAATATATATATATATATATATATATATATATATATATATATATATACATATATATATATATATATATATATATTGAATCACAAAATAATAAATAACATAGCATTAAAACTGTATTTGAATTATTAAATGGTTCTTTTAAAATATTATTTTAATTATTTTATTTGAAAGAAACTAAATTTAAAATATCCAAAAGAAAAAAATTAATATTAAATTGTTGGCTTTATGTGTGTAGATGCATACTTAATTTTTAATAAAACCGATTATGTGTGTGTGTGTGTTAAATAAATTTGAAGTTAATAGATTGAAATAAAAAAAAAATGACTTCATTAAATTTTCACCATATGAAAAAGAAGTAAAAAGAAGTAAACACACACGTAAAATCCATTTTTGAATTGATTATTATTATTTTTTTTTTAGTTTAAAATAGAGTATTTGAAATGCATTTTTAATCTTTAGATTATATATATATTGCTCTTATTAGAAAAATCATAAGAATTTATCATATAAATTACATTAATGTATTTTAAAAATAAAACAAATCATATTCTAATTTTTTATTAGAAAATTCATACATAGAGAAAAATAAATCATATTTTTTAACAAATAAAAATATATAAAAAAATTAAGAAATTAATTAAACGTTTCCATAAAAATGACAAATCAAAGAAATTATCTTAAATTTTGAAAAAAATCATAAATGAAAACTTGAAAGCAAATATATTTTTTAATCGTCAAGTTGCATTGAAAAAAAAAAAAAGAGTAGTAGGCGATGTACCAACTGCTACAACTTTTGGTGAACTTGAATTTGTCAAGAAAAAAAAGAGTTTTTGCATTTTTCGACTCCAAAATTCAATTTGTCCATATTTTTGCTCAAAATAACCAAAATGATGGCAATAAACTCGTTTAAAATCTTAAAAATCATTTTAATATGCATTAAAAAAACAAATTGAAATAAAAAAAGTTTAATTATTTTTTTCCTCCGATTTATCTCCTTCAATTATTTGATGACTTAAAACTACCATAGCCAAACTCTTCTTTTCATGATAAACAAATCGAATGAGATATCATCAACTAAAGTTATTGGAATAAGTTTGGCCGATACTCTCTCTCCCTCCCTCCTCTCTCTTTGTTTCTCTCTCCTATCTACACCCAAGGATCAAAGTATGTCAAAAATAAAGTTTTGGATCAAAATAAAATTTTTAAAAGCATCAAGGCCAAAGTGTAAAAGTTTGTATAATTTGCTTATAATTAATTACTTGAAAAAGATAAAAAAAATTACACAAAAAAAAACCCACACTTTCGTCCATATAGTGTAGATGGGTTTAGAGCTATAGTACTCGCACGATAAACTCGTCCCAAATCTTTTAGTTTGTTTTATAATATTTCTATTTTCTCGTTTAAAAAAATAAAAAAATTTTAATTTTTTTTTCAAAGATTCAGTAAATGATTTTTTTTCTTTTTATTAAAATTTAAAAATTATTTTTCATTTGTAATCATAATGGAGACTTGTTTATTATTTATTGAATCTATTTTGTTGACTAATAGTCAAATCCTTACTTTTTGGCTAATAATCAATTCCTCACTTAACAAGACATCTAGTAATGTAAAGGACTATAATATAAGTTACTAGCTAAAATATTTAATTGCGGAAACTTCATGGTCAAACTCGGAGATCATAATTTAAATAGCTAAAATTTTAATTGGGAAATTTTAGAATTCATAATATAACCTCAAGCACTACTAGTACAAATGTCAAAAGCAAATTTGATTATGGGGAGTTCTTTTTAATTGTTATCAATTTTTTCATACAATCATTTCTGGACTTATAAAAAATAAAAATTTTAAGTAAAATGGTAAACATAATTGATAATGAATAAAAAGAAAAAGGTAAAATAGTGAAACTTTTTGGCTATTTCTATATGTTTCTTGAGCTTTAAAAAGTTTTAACCAAAGCTAAATGTGTAAAATGGAAAATAAAAATAAAATTCATTGCTACTAAACATTAAACATATGAATGGTTTTGAAATACATGAAACAAATATTTCAAATGAAAATCTAGAGCGACCATTGTATGTTGAAAATTTAATCCCACTCTGTATAAATTAGATTTCATTAAAAAAATAATCAAGTCAAACACATAGAACAATAAAAAATATAAAATAAATTAATAAAAAGACTACAATCACAAGACAATCAAAATTACATGGAAAACATTTTCTATATCGGAGGAAAAACTATTGGACCAACTTTTAAATGATCAACTATAATTAAAAAACAATACAATCACTTAAGTTTTTCATGAACTTGAGAAGTGAAAAATAGTGACAATAATACAAGTTATCTCTCTAACCAAATCAGTCTTATCATGAAAATCTAAAATCTATGAAATTTTTGTGTTTCGCAAAACTCAATACCACATGAGATCATTATTTTGAACAATATAATTTTCAATGACTCGTAGTATCGCAAAATCAATTCTATCCCAATATTTTGTGCATAAAAAATTCTTGCTTTCTTTTCTATACCAATGAAAGAAAAACTCTAGTTTTTCTTTTTCCTATCATGTTACTCTCCTTGTAACAATAAAAATAAAAATAAAAAATCTTTCTTTTATATACATGTCTCTGTTAAACAAGAAAAAAAAATCAAGAAAAGAAACTTTTCACTTCATTTTCACCGTAATTTTTTTTTCTATTTTATTTCTTGATGAATTATAATACTAAAATCACTCTTGCACATGACCTATATATACAAATATTTTACATGTATGGAAGTTTAAGGAGTCGTTAATACATAAGTAGGATTATACTAAATGGTTTACTAAAGAATCTTATTAATACTAATTAATAACAATTATATTAGTATGATGTGCTCTAATGTAACGAAAAATGAGATGATTTATTATATTTTTTTGCTTGGTTACAAAATTTATAAGTAATTGAATGTATGTTTTCATAAATTTCATTTTAATTTATAGTATGATTACAAATGTTTCATTACGTAGCTTTTTTTATAATACATGTAATGTGATAAGTAATTACAATTGTAATGGTTATGTAATGGATCATTTCATGATTTATTAAATCTAACCAAATACACCATTAATATTCATAATTTATATAATATGTGTATATACTATTTGTATAACACTATTTATCACTTGTAGCCACAAAAAATATAAATTTTATATATGATTTTACTATTTGTATAGAGTTTTCCATTGATCTAATTAAAACAACAAAGTATATAAATTAATTAATCAAGAAATGTGGTCAAGTGGTAAAGGAGTTTTATTTATTTGACTAAGATCAAGGTTCAATTCTCTTTATACATAAATAACTAGTCATAATTATTCTTTACGGATATAAAGCTTGAGTTAATTTGGTCTACAAAGGAGGTCGGTGATCAACCAAGGGCTAAAAATATTGTGACTTTGGTTTAGCTCAAAAAAAAAATGATAGATTTAGTCTCGATGAATGCGAAAAATGACACAAAAATATCCTACTATATATATATATATATATATATATATATATATATATATATATATATATATATATATATATATATATATAGTAGGATATTTTTGTGTCATTTTTTGCATTCATCGAGACTACATCTATCATTATATATATTATTTAACTAATAGTGCCAATTCTTATGAAGCAACTCAAACTAATCATCGGACACTTTCATAGCAATTCAAAATGACTAGAACATAGATTTAGACACTCCATAACTTTTACCATTACTAGGACCTTTAAATTACATTCCAAAATACTTATTATTAAATGACACTCTAATCCTTTAGCACAATACTCTTGGAGGTGGAACACACCTACTAGGTCCGGATGGAGGAATAGGATATTATTTAGGGAGTTGTTCAAAATTCCAACCTGTAAGAAATGAGGTGGGAGGTGGTGGTGGATAATCCGAGCTGCCCCTACTAGGTCCAGATGGAGGAATAGGGGTATATTTAGGGAGTTTTCCAAAGTTCCAACCCTTAAACAAAAAGGTGAGAGGTGGTGGTGATGGATTATATAAGGAGCCTCTACTAGGCTCGGATAGAGGAATGGGGATATTTTTAGGAAGTTCTCCAAAGTTCCAACCTTCAAGAAAAGAAGTAGGAGGAGGTGGTGGATAATTCGAGCTAACCGTACTAGGTCCGGATGGAGGAATAGGAGTATATTTAGGGTGTTGTCCAAAATTCCAACCCTTGAACAAGGAGTTGGGAGGTGGTGGTGGTGGATAATCGGAGGAGCCCTTAATAGGCCGGGATGGAGGAATAGGGATATTTTTAGGAAGTTCTCCAAAGTTCCAACCCTTAAGCAATAGCTTTCGAGATAGTGGTGGATAATCCGAGCTACCCGTACTAGGTTCGGATGGAGGAATAGGGGTATCTTTGGGAAGTTCTCCAAAGTTCCAACCCTTCAATGGCGATGATTAATCCACTTAAGCAAAGCTTATTGCAAATAGAAGGATGAAGGACATCCATGATGGATGTTGGTAGAATAACACCATTATTTTTCCTACATTTCAGGATGCTGCCTTTCAAACAAAGCTCTTAACTTCTTTTGTATGGTCTAATTGTATTCTCAATCCTTTTATAAATATTTACCAGAAACCTATTCAAAAAGGCCTACCTTAATAATTAGGAGTTTGATGTTATTTAAGAAAAATAAAATTATTCGAACTAGAAAAAGGAAAGCAAATCTTGTTTTCACGTTTTATTTTGTTTTTATTCACGTTGTTATTTCTACGTATCCTTGTATGCATTGAACATGCATGAATGAGGTGATTTAATTTCCATATATTCTTAGAAATATTGAATTAAAATTTAGATTTTATTCAGTTATGGAAATAATTTAATCAATTATGTTATTATATTGAATCATTTTAATTATATCTGTTAACAAATTTATGGCTAATTTTGTGAGATTTATGGCTAATTTTTGTTTAATTCTATGGGATTGTAGAGAATTGAAAAGTTTCTAGATTTATTGCAACCATTTGGACTGCATTTATGGCTTAGCATAAGGATAATGGGAATTAGTTAAACAAGCATGCACGTACTTATATTTTAGATCTAGTTTTCATTCTATCTCAATAAATTTGATTATTTTTAATTTATTTTTCAACCTATCCATCTAGTAGATATTTCCACACAAACTAATTAAAAAAATACCCTCCATGAGAAATTCAAATCAAACCTAATTTATTTAAAAAACAATAATAACGATAAAAAAAATGAATTTTAACATTTGATAGAGTAAGATTGGATCCTCTCGTGAATATGACCTATTATTTTTGTTGAGCCATAGCCCTTGAATTTAAATTAACAACCTAGATATCCATATGTGTTCTAAGAAAAAGAGATATCTAAATAAAATTCAAATTGAATGTATATAATTTAGTGTATGATAAAAAAAAGTAACAATTTAATTCTTTGTTATTTTATTTTTTCCATTTAATCTAGGCCATGGAATTCAAATCAATGATTATATTTGGAATATGATTAGTTATTTTCGGACTAAAATTTGATTACTATCATCGTGTTGAGTTTTCATACAACAACACACCAAATGTATGTTTGGTTCCCACAAGGGCATGTCTACCTCTCCATTATGCCGGATATGTGGCATGGACCAAGAAACAATATTGCATGTTCTTCGTGATTGTACGTGGCCCAAAAATATATGGGAGTAACTCCTTGGATCAAACCTCCCCATTGACTTTTTTCGGCTTCTTGGGAGGATTAGTTGTATGGTAATGCTCTTTGCCCTTCTTCTCTCTTGGCACCATTGCTAGAAATATCTCCTCACATGCTTGGACCATCTAATGTGCACGAAAAAAAGAAGTCATCCAAGGAAATTTTTCTTGCATCCGAACACCGAGTAAGGCTACTACAATATATGATTCATGACTATGCGTTAGCTTTTGAAACTTCTTATAATGTCCAGCAACATAGCACATAGCTTTGGGTTTCATGGATATCTCCTTCTCATGGCACGATCAAGTGCAATGCCGATGATAGTTACTTAAGCATGTCTAACCATGTTGAGACTAGAGGTCCGATACGGGATCATTGTGATGTGTGGAGAGTTGGTTTCTCGAGTTTTCTTAGAGAATCATCTATTATGTTGGCAGAATTAGAAGCTATTCGTCGGGGCCAAATTTTGGATTGGGAATGTGGCTTTCGGAAGGTGAATATGGAGACTGGTTCCCAAGAAGCGATCAATGCTATTTATAATGACATTCATCAATTCCAACCATAATACAACATCATCATTGACATCTATTGCTCGTGCCAAAGACAATGGAGTGTTTCCTTTACCATACCTTAAGGGAAGGCAATAGAAGTGCCGACTACCTCACCCGTATTAGCTCATCAAATGATACTCCTTTTCAAGTCCGGAATCATCCTCTCGTTGGACCTTGTCGACATTCTATCTAATGATGCTGCAAGTGTTAGAGTTTTGAGGCCTTAACTATGCCTCCACCCTTTGTACAAAAAAAAATGTATGTTTGGTATTATTATGTTATAAAACATAGTTGCTTTTGGTTTATTTTCGTTGTGATTGATATTGCTACACTTTTAAATTACCGATGCCGAAATCAATGGTTGGTTAATAACTATTTTAATTTGAAATCAAAATAGGTGTCACTTTAAAAAGAAATTACTTTGTTTTTTTAAATAAAGTAGGATGCAATTATCAAAATCATAACTCGCTTATATATATATATATATATATATCACTTGGCCTAGTTGACAAGGTACGGTGCGTCGGTTCCGGGACTTATCTTGAGAAAGAGATGCTAGGTCTCGCCTATCTCGCGGATTCGAAAGCAACAGCAAAGAGAAAAGGGGATTGCCCACTAAGAGCCCATCATTTACCCGAGCGAGAAGATCCCCGTTAATTTGAAATCAAAATAGGTGTCACTTTAAAAGGAAATTACTTTGTTTTTTTAAATAAACTAGGATGCACTTATCAAAATCATAAATGCTTATATATATATATATATTAAAATGAAAACTTTCTCTATTATTTTTCTTTTAAAAAGTAAACATTTCAAAAATTTTAGTGTTATACAAAATACTATTTCAAATTTTCTTTTTTAACTAATTTATTGCTATTGAAATTATGTCTATCTATATTACAATCCTATTCTAACATTTTTTTTTTTTTTGGTTTAAGTTTTCCACACTTAAGAATTATCTTTACAAAAAATATGCATGCATGTCACCTAATTTAAGAAGTTATAAAAACCATTTAATATAAATAAAAAAATATGTATTAAAATATTTTTAGTATGTTATAGTCTTTATTGATTATTATATATCTCAAAAGCACAACGATAAAATTTAACCAAATACCTTTTAAGAACGGTAAATATTTATAATTTCAACACAATAATCAGCTCCAAACACTACTATTACCCCACCGCACAACATTGAACAACACAACACAAGCATAGCTCGAGACAACATAACACAACAATATCAAATAAGCTCTTGATTTAAAAAAGATAGTTTGTTTAATACATTAATTTAGAATTATATTTATAAATTAATTTATTAGTTAAATGAATTTAATTTAGTAATTGAATGTTAGGATAATAAAATGCTCCTTAGTTTTGTGTTTTACCGGATAAGGTACATCAATAAAATAAGAGCTTGTTTTACAACGTTAACGATGAAAGTTAATAAAGATCCTCATTTTTCAAATTCAGTTTGTTCATAAATAAAATAAGCCTTTTTAAAACCTATATAACTTACTAGTAGATCTGTTTTTTGTTGAATTAGGTTGCAGTTTGTTTCTAAATGACATAATGTCATGATTTTGGCTTTAAAAATTCATTCGGGGAACGACGATAAGATATTATGACAATAAGCCTTTAGCATGGAGAATGACATCTAGACTTGAATATTAGGGATGATTGACATGATGATAATACTTAAATATTGAAAATAACTTATGACTCAATAAAATATGAAATAGAAAGAGGAATGGAAGGAACGACAAGCAAGCTGGAGCAAGTGAGAGCATAGGCGATAAAGGTGACTTTTAGCAGATGAGAAGTATGATGGGGGTAAAGGTAATATTTTTCCATTCTTGAGAAATAAATAACTTAGGAGACTACCCAAACGAGGGTGCCTTAGGAATGTGCCTTGGAGGGCACCAATCCTAAAGAGGATTCCATGCTAGAGAGGAAATATGTGGGTTTTAGTGTGTGTGTGTGTGTGTGTGTGTGAGAGAGAGAGAGAGAGAGAGAGAGACACACACACACAGAGGGTCAATACATTAATTCAAAGAATATTAATTTTACATTTCTAAGCAAGTATGCATCTTTTATTTTTTTTGTAATTTTTTAATGAGAATAGGGATGTTACCTTAGAATATATTAATAGAAACGTGCAAAGATACAAGAGAGGGACTAACTAGCCTAACACAACAAATTAAGAGGACAAGAAAGCCTAAACTTCTGAGATAAGCTTACGAGTAAAGTTTCCTAAAAACGAAGTTACAAAAAAGTTTCTTGAACAATGACAACAAGAAACCGAGTAAGGAGTAACTATAAAACTTACATGTAAATAACAAATAAACTAAATATTAAGGACCTAACCAAACAAAAACCCTAATCTACCTCTTATAGAAACTAGCTTAATCAGAATGAAAATTATACAACCCATTTTTATCATCAAAAAGTGCAAATCTGCAGTTTGAGGGCAACCTATAAGAGAAAAAGATCACCTTGTTGGAACCGTAAAGGTAGGCCCAATTTGCAAGCCTATCCACATCCATATTTCCCTCTTTTTGAACATGTTGTAAAACTATATATGCTTAAAGGTTTCCCATCACTCTTTGAAGATGTACGTTAGTTGCCATGGACAAGAACTGGTATGGGATAAACTAGTTATCATCAAGGAAGAGTCAACCTCTATAACATCAAATCATAAGTTATGATCAATACATATTTTGATGCCTTCAAAAAGTGCCAATGCTTTCCCTTTGGAGTTTGTTCCATGACCAAAGAAGTAGAAGTGAGCCATAACCAAATTACCATGTTCATCATGAAGAATACCCCCCACTATAAATATTATTCCTTGAAGTCCTATCGGTATTTTGTTTTAGCTTACCCATAAAAGGATACTCGCCATTTAATCCACCTCCTAATGGAGGAATGAGAAGCTTGCAGCTAGATTCCCAAAGCTTGAAGACATAAACTATCATGAAGGGAAGTTGAAGCCTTTAAGGAAAATAGCATAGAAATATCATTTAGCCGGTGAAGGACTTTATGTTTGATAGTGATCTCATTCATTCTCTCACCTTTAAAAATGGATTTATTTCTAGATAACCAAAGCTCTTAAATAATGTAGTTAAAAACTATCATACTAGTAAAACATTTACGGGAGAGAATCTTACTTTTGGCGAGCCATACCGAGATTTATTGCAATATCATGGTAGAGCTAAGAGATATATCCAATAGATCTAATTTACATTCTATCTGAATGAATTTGATTATTTTTAATTTATTTTTCCATCTATCCGTCTAGTAGATATTTTTGCACAAACTGATAAAAAAAATCCTCCATGAGAAATTCAAATTAATTTATTAAAAAAATAATAACCATAAAAAAAATGAATTTTAACATTTGATAAGGTAAGATTGGATCCTCTCATGAATATGAACTATTATTTTTATTGAAGCGTAGCCTTAGAATTTAAATTAACACCTAGATATCCACATATGTTCTAAGAACAAGAAAAATCTAAATAAAATTCAAATTAAATGTATATAATTTAGTTTATGATAAAAATAGTAACAATTTAACTCTTTGTTATTTTATTTTTTTTCCATTTAATCTAGACTATGGAATTCAAAATCAATGGTTATATTTGGAATATGACACCACACCAAATGCATGTTCGAGTATTATTATGTTATAAAAGCATAGTTGCTTTTGGTTTCTTTTTGTTATAATGGATATTGTCATACTTTTAAAGTACAGATGCCAAAATCAATGTTTGGTTAATAACTATTTTAATTTAAAATCAAAATAAGTATCACTTTAAAAGGAAATTACTTTGTGTTTTAAACAAAGTAGGATACGCTACCAAAATCATAACTAATTATTGTATGTGTGTGTATTAAAATGACAACGTTCTCTATTATTTTCTTTTAAAAAGTAATCATTTCAAACATTCTAATGTTATACAGAATACTATTTTAAAATACTTTTCTTAACTAATTGATTTTTATTGAAATTATGTCTATTTATATTACAATTCTATCTAACTTTTTTTGTTTTATTTTTTCGAAATTAAGAATTGTCCTTACAAAAAATATGCACGCATGTTGTCTAGCTTCAAAAGTTATAAAAATCATTTAATCTAAATAAAAAATACATATTAAAATATTTTTAGTATGTTACAATCTTTATTGATTATTATATATCTCAAAAGCACAACAAAAAAATTTAACCAATTACCTTTTACCAACTTTAAATATTTATAAATACAACACAATAATCAGCTATAAACACTCGCTCTTACCCTACCGCAGAACATTGAACAACACAACACAACATAACTCAAGGCAACATAACACAACAATATCAAACAAGCTCTTGATTTATAAATAGAGTTTGTTTGATACATTAATTTAGAATTATACTTATACATTAATTTATAAATTTATATAAATATATTAATCAAATAAATTTAATTTCGTAATTGAATGTTAGGGCAATAAAATGCTCCTTAGTTTTGTGCTTTACCGGGTAAGGTATATCAATAAAATAAGAGCATATTTTACAATATTAACAATGAAAGTTTATTGAAAGATTCTTATTTTTCAAATTTATTTTGTTCACAAATACAATAAATCTTTTTAAACCCGCATAACTTACCAATAGATTTGATTTTCATTGAATTAGGTTGGAGTTTGTTTTTAAATGATATAATGTCATGATTTTGACTCTAAAAATTCATTAAGGGGAATGACAACAAGCCTTAAGCATGGAGAACAACGACTAGACTTGAATATTAGGGATGACCGACATAATGATAATACTTAAATATTGAAAACAACTTACAAATCAATAAAATATGAAATAGAACAAGGAATGGAAGGAACAACAACCAACTTGAGCAAGTGAGAGCATAGGCGGTCGGGGTGACTTTTAGCGAGATGGGAAGTAGGATGGGGGCAAAGGGAATATTTTCCCATGATTGAGAAATAATAACCTAGGAGACTACCCAAATGAGGGTGCCATAGGAATGTGCTTTGGAAGGCACCAATCCTAAAGAGGATTCCATTCTAAAGAGAAATATGTGGGTTTTATTGAGAGAAAAAGTGTGTGTGTGAATCAATATATTAATTCAAATAATATTAATTTTACATTTCTAAGAAAGTATGCATATTTTATTTTATTTTTATTTTTTTAATGAGAATAAGGATGTCATCCTAGAATATATTAATAGAAACGTGCAAAGATACAAGAGGAGGACTAACCAGACCTAGCTCAACAAATTGAGAGGACAAGAAAGCCTAAACTCCTAAAATAAGCTTACGAGTAAAGTTTTTTGAAAAGAGGTTATAGGAAAGTTTCCTAAACAATGACAAGAAGAAACTATGTAGGGAATAACCGTAAAACTTACATGCAAATAAAAAATAAAGTAAATATTAAGGACCTAACCGGATAACGACCTTGATCTACCTCTTACAAATGCTAGCTTAATCATAATGAAAAATATACAATCCAATTTTATCATCAAAAAGTGCAAATCGCAGATGGAGGAAAACCAATGTGAGTAGAAGATCACCTTGGTAGAACTTTGAAGGTAGGCCGAATTCATAAGCTATCCACATCCATATTTCCCTTCCTATGAACATATTGTAAAATTGTATGTGCTTGAAGGTTTGTCCAACACTCTCTAAAGATGTATGTTAGTTGCCATGGATAAGAACTAGTTCATGATAAACCTCGCTATCATCAAGGATGAGTCGATATCTATAACATCAAATCATAAGTTATGATCAATATAGATTTTGATGCCTTCAAAAAGTGCTAATGCTTCCTTTTGGAGTTTGTTCCAAAACCAAAGAAGTAGGAGAAGGCCATAACCAAATTACCATGTTCATCACGAAAAATAACCCCCACTACAAATATTATTCCTCAAAGCCCCATCAGTATTTAGTTTGAGCTTACCCATAAAAGGATACTGCCATTTAATCCACCTCCTAGTGAAGGGATAAAAAGCTTGCGACTAGATAAACAAAGCTTGAAGATGCAAACTATCACGAAACAAAGTTGAAGCCTTTGAGGAAAATAGTATAGAAGTATCATTTAGCTAGTTAAGGACTTTATGTTTGATAAAGATCTCGTTCATTCTCTCGCCTTTAAAAATAGATTTATTTCTAGATAACCAAAGCTCGCAAATAATGCAT